TTGCCCCGACCGGGAATTAACGCCGGGACCACGCACATTTCGTATCACGGAAAGCTATCACGTTGCCCATGAGCCATATAATAATAATAATAATAATAATAATAATAATAATAATAGTAATAATCATAGTAATCATAATCATAATATTCAAAATCATAATAATCATAATCATAATAATCATAATCTTCACACTTCAAGGCGTATACAACCTTGTTGTAATTCAAGGAAACAGCAGAATTACACACGTTAATCGTGTATCGTGGTCACTAATGGCCTATACGCAAATAATAATAATAATAATAATAATAATAATAATAATAATAATAATAATAATAATAATAGTAATAATAATTGTAATAATAATTGTAATAATAATTGTAATAATAATAATAATAGTAATAATAAACTATTATTTAAAAAGTGTATAGGAAAGGAATGCTGGCGTTGGGAAAGGGCCTGGCACCACGTGCAGGGGAGCGGAAGGACAGAAGGGGACCTCCAGGTCGTTCCCTATTCTCAAATAGGCTTACGGGCTTATGAGAACAAGGGCAAGGAGAACAGGGATGACCCAGGTCATGCCAAGCAGCACTTTGTTTAATAGTGTTACGCCCCAGCCTCGGAAGCGCGACTTTGCAGCGGTCATCGGACGAATCGGCGACACTGGAAGTGCACGGCGACCGGGAGAGAGGACGGAGAGCTGCTAGCAGGACCCTGCAGGGTCTGACTGGACGGAGCGGGCTGGAGGAGTGTCTACAGGGACAGTTTGGGTCGATCTGAACTGACTAGGGGTGAAGGGAGTCCGACAGGGCCAATTGGGACCGATCGGCCGTACACACGGACGATTTGCTCACGGGTAGCATTCGTCCCCTCTCCAAGCGAAAGTCAAGATGATAGATATTGAATTGAATTGATGTCTTATTTTACGTGGTGAGACTCAGGCCATGAGGCCCGCTCTTCCGTCTGACCACGAAAATTTTGCTACGCTCCTTTCACCCACTAGTAGAGAAAAGAGGTATTTTTTGGGTGACGAAACAGGCGATTTTTGAATTCACCTCACAGGCTTCATTTAGGTTTGAAGATAATTTACATCCAGTAAATATACTAGCATGGGACAGCCGGATCTCCTTTCTCTCAGAAGGAAGGCGTAGGAAGGATTTTTTGCCCTAAAAAGCCACGGCTTTGATCGGGTTTCAACTTGCAAACTTGGGTATTACAGTCCGACACGCTAACCGTTACTCCAACGCCGCCTCAAAAGGAAAGGCGGTTTACTATTGAGATACTCTTTTTGGGGCGGTCCTTAGTCACTGCGTTAACGTCGGCGCCAGCTGTCTGAGGCCATGCAACAATGTTTATACTTGCCTCAGAACCAACGGAACACTTCAAAACACTCTTTATGTACACTTGTGGATAAATATATCAAAAAAGATTGTTACAATGTAACAATTAGTTGACTGTTCTGATATGATACTGAACTCCATCATTCTAGCTCAGTGGCATTATTGCTGTGTCGAGCTCGGTTCGAGCTCCCTTCTTTCGACAAGGAATGTTGTAACAAACCTTGTCCGCCGACAAGAGATCTGGACTGCAAGCAACGGATCTTGTCAACGCACTTTGTTGTCAGCGTACCTAGTTGATAACGTGCCTTGTCTGCCGACATCACAACCCAGTTAGCCAAGCAGATACGTACCTTCACTGCCGAAAACATGCCTTGTCTATCGACAACATATCTTGTCTAGCAACAAAATACTCTGTCTAACAACCACATACCTTGTCTGCCAACCTACCTTGTCTGTCGACAACATACCTTGTCTGTCGACAACATATCTCGCCTAGCAACAAAATACCTTGTCTAGCAACAACATACCTCGTCTGCCAGCATATCTTGTTTGGCGACATCATATCTAGTTAGCCAAAACACCCGTACCGATGACTCTCTTGTCTATCAGCACCACACCTTGTCCGTCAATAACGTACCTTGTCTGCCGACTGCTTGGCGCTGAGAATGTTGAACTGCGACTCAAAGGCCCAGCGAGTGTACAAGTAATGATGCTGCTCTTCCCGAGTGATGGACGTCAATGACACGGACGGACAGCGCAGAGTGACGTGCAGCGATGCTTCGATCTATAAGGAAACAAACAGGCAGACTTGTATTTCACTGAACTAAATAAATAATTCATCACGGCTTATATTGAACGCCATCACGGCGGCCTAGTATTTGAGGTCGCTAAGGCGGGAATACAGAGTTGAGTTTGATTAGAATATGTCGAATATGTTGTAACAAAACCTTACTTGCCAACAACATACTTGCCGACCGACAACAGACCTGGTCTGCCGACAACATGCCTTGTCGACAACGTATTTTGTCTGCCGACCTCACAACGTAGTCACCCAAGCACATATTTCCTCTTCTGACCTGAATGGAATGACACCATAGCAGTCTGCTTGATATTGGGGAAAAGCAACAAACAACAACAGCGCGCTACTCACTGAGCCATTTCGCTCGGTCTCTCCGCTTAAAGGCCCTGCAGTGACACATCAGTTGATGCCCTGAGCCACCTTTGCCAGTCCGGTCAGGCTCAGAAGGGAACGAAAGAAGAAGAAAAAACAACGGTGAAGTACCTCCGGTCTGGACGAGACCCACACCAGCGCCGCCTTCGTGTCCTGCAGCAGCATCTCCAGCAGTCGCAGCATCTTGCTCTTGAAGGCCGGGCACAACTCGTCGAAGCCGTCCACGTGCACGCTCACGGCACCCGAAACCCACAGCGCCGCCTCCAGGCAGCGCCGCGCCGCCCCCGACACCGCCCCCGCCGCCGCCGCCAGCAGCTGCGTCACGTGGCACGGCGCTAGCCCTGAAACCGTGAGGCAAACACATGGGAAAGCGTTCTGCGCAGCACCACGATCATGCGACATCTACTGGAACAACCGAGAAAGACGCGAAATACCGTGACATATTCCATCGTGAAGACAAGTCTTGTCGCGCCACGTTTCAAAGCATCAAAGTATAGTGATGGGCGAAACAGCTTTTCTTCAATATATTCAATAACTATTATCGGAATAATAGTTGACTCAAAATAAAGGTTGATAATAACAGGTCCATGATCAGCAATTAACATGGCCGACTGCTAAGAGTTAAATCAGTTGTGGTGACTTCTAAGACACACCAAACAAAATGAATAACGTTGGTAGCATTTTTAGGCCCTTGAGCAGCTACTTTACGGCACTTGCTTGCACTACATTCCCAAACATGATTGGACAGACAGAAAGCTGATACTGCGTGCCAGCGTCACCGACCTACATCGATACCTCTCCTCAGTGCAGCACTCCGTGAAGAATGGGCTGCCATTTCTCCAGAAACCTTCCAGCACCAGATTGAAAGTATGCCTGCGAGAGTGGAAGCTGTCATCAAGGCTAAGGGTGGGCCGACCCCCTAATGAATTCCAGCATTACCGATGGAGGGCGCGACGAACTGGTAAGTCATTTTCAGCTACGTGTCCGGATACATTTGCAGCTACGTGTCCGGATACATTT